GGCTACGAATTTAAATTTTTATTTAATTTATCAATTAATTTTTAAAAAAAATGGTAAAGAGTTTAGTTTTTTTTTTTTTTTTTTTTGTCTAAAATTAAATTTATTACAACTATTTTGTTTTTTAGTTTTATTTTTTAAATTAAGTTTACAAATTCATACTTCCATATGTAATTTTCTTGTTTTATTGTCCATGTTTTAAAAAACAAACAAAAAAAAAATGTTTGTTATAATTTAAATGTATTTAAAAAATGTGAAAAATATATAAATAAAAGTTCGGTAGAGACAAGCATGATTTAAAATATATGTAGCAAAAAAAAACTACAACCTGAGTTTAATAAATGAATTATTAACTTAATTTTTACATTTGATTATAGAGACTTTATTAAATATACTCTTATTATTATTATTATTATTATTATTATTATTATTATTATTATTATTATTATTATTATTATTATTATTATTGATAGTGACACATTTTAGTCCCAATATTTGACTTTTTTTTTTCTTCTTTGTATGAATTTTAAAATTTATGGGTTAATCAAATATTCACATAATTAATATCAACAATAAAAATATATTATTTATGTTCGGATTATACGTACAAATCTTTATTTCTTAAAAAAAAAAGAATATTAAGACAATAAATATCATATTAAAAACGAATTATTTTTCATGAATTTTGTCAATATAACAAATTCGCCTACCATAGAAATTTATAAATAATGGTAAGAATGACACTTATTATATAATTATCATAATTTTAGTTTTATAATATAAAATTGGAAATACGGTTATTAGAAAATTGCGGATCAAGAAAGTCTATGGATATTGTGAACGACAAAACAAATGACGTAGACTAGTTTAAAAATCGTGTTGGGTAGCTATTGAACACGATTCTGAGTGAATTTTTTTATTTAATAAATTTGATAAATCGAAAAAAAATGTCAAATAGAAATAAAAAAAAATATTGAAAAACATCACTCAAAAAGTTTTTTTGTTTAATTTGAATTAACATTTTTTCATTTTTCAAATAATAAATACGTTTTGGTAATTTTTCAAAACGCAATTAAATTTTGTCATTTATTTAGTTATCCCAAAATAAATCGGATTTTTCTAATAATAAAAAAAATAGGCACATTACACATCGTTGAGCCCAAACATATTTCCGATTTATTGTCGGGTTTTTTTAAGAAAGCAAATAAATAAATAAATTAAGAGTAATTTCA